TCCTGCTAATAGCGATCTGCGAGTTTAGTGCAAAAACGCATGATCACACCGGAGAGCCTGGTGCGTACCAGCTTGGGTTAAAAAAAAAATTCAAATGAAAAGGAATGTTTCGGTCCATTAAGTCATATGCAGTGTCTCATCGCTCATTTTGGTTTTTGGGTTAAAAAACATTTTCCCCAAAACTTGTTTGCACACGAAATGCAAACATAACGTGGAAACTCTTTTGAAATTTCCTGGACTGTTCACTGACAAAAAATATCTTTCCAAAATTTCGGTTTTTGACCCTAATAAAAAGTCGTGTTCGGTTAAGATGAGTTTTAGACGCGGTGGTAGCTGCTTATTTCGTTTGGGTGATACTTTTAGAAATACGGACTGAATGTTTGGTAGCACATCGTCCAGAAATACTGTCATCCAGCGGGCATCGTTGCGCACTATCAACTGGCGGCTACTAAAACTCGATTCGTATCGGCTTCGTCGGGTCGGAGGGCGAGTTGCAGTGGCTGCGTGGTGGTGGGACAAAGAGCTGCGAAAAGATCTGGGGCGTTTGGTGGTTTAGGATTTGGGGTCTTAACGGAGGGAGGGAGCACGGTTGTTTGACTGCAAAGAAGCCGAGACCTCACTTAAAGATAGGGATTGGGAACATGGAGGGGGTTTTATGTAGGAGGATGGGGGCATCCTTTAGCTTTTTATGCGTTTTGTGCTGTGTAACAGCGTTACAAAACGCATATTGTCACGGTTGTCTGTGTGTGTGTGTGTGTCCCACATTTTGTCTCGCACTTTTAACTCGGGAACCACAAAAGCTAAGCGGCTGAAATTTTGGTATAGTGTTCCCCGCCAACGGATGACGCGGCAAATTTAAATTCAGCCTTCCCTTACCCGCGGGTAACTCGTACGGCCCCGTGAAAGTTTTTTACGGGTAAGTCAATGTCTCAGGAACCACGGAGTCTAGGAGGCTGAAATTTCAGGGTAATGACCCCCTGCCCACACTCAATCTTGCCCATTCAAATTCAGCGTTCCCGCGCTCTTGGGTATTACCTACGGGCTAGTGAAAGTTTTTACGGGCAAATTATTTTCTCGGGAACCACGAGGTCTAGGAAGCTGAAATTTTAGGGTAATAACTCCCTGCCCATGCTCAACCTTGCCTATTCAAATTTAGCGCTT